ACAGGCCAGGACTGGCTCTCTGTCAGTTGCCTTTACTGGGAATAAGGGAAGGGAAAGAGAAAAAGAGGAAGAGGAGGAAGAAGGAACATTTTCTGTAAATTACTTGTGGGATGAAAGCCAGGATGAGTGGGAAAGAGTCTGGGATTCTCAGATGTGCCTGCAGGGAATTCATTGAGGAGAACACCCTCAGGGGCCCTATGACAAGGAGGGAGAAGGCTTTGGGAGCAGTCAGATTCTAGGAGGAACCCCTGTGTTGAGCGGCCCTGCTGAGCGTCCCTGAAGTGGGCCATTGGCAACCCCAGGGAAGGAGCTAAACCCTGGTGGAGGCAGCTTCCTCCTGCGGAGGGTGCTGCTGGGACGAAAGATCACCTGTGAACCATCAGAAGCCCACACGCCATCTGGGAGCTGTGGAATGAATCTCTCGGCTCTGGGGAGGTGGGAGGATATGCTTTCCTCTGTGCTACACAGGAACAAACTGAGATGTGGAAAAGTTAGGTAACTTGATTAAAATTACACAGTAAGTAGACAGCAATGCTCCAGATCCAGAAGCAAGGCCTCCCATCACAGGTCTCCCTACCGTGTTTAAAGAACTTACTAAAATGTCCATCCTGGCTACACAATCAATTTAAATTGCTTTGTTTGGGTACTGGAGATACCCATTCCCTCTGTGCTAGCAGCTCTAATCCCTTCAGTTACCAAGAGCTATCTTTGAGTATCTTTGCAAGCAATGTCAGTTGTGTGTGTCTTTTGGACCTTGGAAAGATTTTACCTTCACATATTAAAACCTTGACTCAGTGATGGAAAGCAAGGGTTTGCCTCTAGGGACCAAGTGGGTACTATAGTAATAGGCGGAGCTAGTACAAGCAGATGAAATTGTGCATAGCTTGGTCTCCATACTCAACTGTTGGGACTTGCTCACTTGGTAGGACTTACTGCTCTCTGCTTGAACCGGAAGCTATACCTCTCCAAAAGCCCCAGTGTCAAGGATGTCTACCCCAGAAGCAATGGCAGATAGAAGGGTGTCTCAACAGACATCCTCTTCTAGCTAAATGACTGAGTGCACTGGGGAGGCACACCCAGGAGCTACGGGGGTAGAGGTCGACTTTCATCTATCTACCATTCACTAAGAATTTAGTGAGGAGACCCGTGGTCAGCTAGGTCACCACATCCCGCACCGCCCGTCTCCATCAAGCCCGAAATAGCTTCAAGCTCCCCATCTCCCTTTCATCTTCTCTCCCTTTTCTGCTTACACAGTGTTGATGGCCTTCTCGGGTTATGGCTGTGCTGTCAGCTTCTGTTTTTGTTCCTATCTAACAAATGTGGAAATGACCCAGTCTTTAGTCCTGGGTCACAGATGATAGGCAGTGGGACTGAGGAACCATACCGAGAAACAACCACCAGAGCAGAGCACACACGCTCTCCCTGGGGCAAGCTCTCTGCCTTGTCAGCAGTATCTTTCTTGTCCCCTCAGCCTTGTCTTAGCTACCAGCACTCCACCAGCCACTACTCTCTGGCAGCGTCTGTGGCTTCTTTCTGGACTCCTGAGGGCAGTTTCGGGAGGAAAACGGTGCAATGCTCTAAAATCTGACTTGTAATAAGGCAGACTTTGTTATTCAACAGGGACACAGAAGTGAGTGCCCCCAGCCAATTAGAAATTAAAGGTATCTGAGAGGAAAGGTATTCCAGACACAGAAAGACAAATGCCACATGTTTTCCTTCACATGTAGGTTCTAGATGTGTGGGCCGCAGCTTCTAAGTCATGAAACTCGAATGGGAACTGTGAGAGGGAGGAAAAGAGATCCTGGGGAAGAAGAAGGAAAAAAAGAAGTACAGGATGCTTGTGAGATGAAAGGAGACCGAGGCTGCTGGGAACAAAAGGGATGGGCTGGGAGGACAGAGGGAACTGTAGGTGAGGATCAATAAAGCAAAACCTGCATAAAAACTCAGTGACACCCATTTCAGTTTGTATGCTAATGTGAAAAAACACATAGAAGATTAACATGACTAACAGGGCGTAATTACAAAGGCATTAAAATAGTTATGTTTGTGTAACTAAAAATTATAAATAAAGAGAGGATGTATACAATCTCTGCTAAATTGATGGGTTACAGAGTTGGCTCGGTGACTAAATAAAGAGCATTTACTGCTCTTACAGTGGACTAGGGTTTGCTTCTCAGCACCTACATGATGGTTCAAGTCTGCCTATAACTCCGGCTCTGGAGCGTACCCCCTCTCCTGGTCTCTACAGGTACTGTACACACATGGGACATACAAATATGGAGGCAAAAAACTTACACTCGTAAAATAAAACATAATAAAAATTTCAATTCCTGCTAAGTTGGATTGGATACTGATTTCACCAGGCTGAAGTAAAATAAACATGAGTATTGAGTAAGTTAGGAGACCTCTATAGTCTAATCAATTTATTCCATATAAAATATAAATTCATGAAAAACTCATAGCCATAAATGAACAGTTGAGACCTCAAGAGGTAGAAATTTTGAGGCTCAAACATTTATCATAATCATGCTACCTGAAACTATCCTTGAATGGGTCCCCTAAAAATACTTAACCCATCTTTGTCAGGTGGGGAACACTGCAAAGTCATACTTTCAAGAGTATAGAAAGCAAATCATTATAGATAATGTCTTCTTTGCTCACATGCTGGGGCCGGAAGCAGTCAGAGGAGACATCACTGAGGAAAGCAGAAAATGTAGCCACGCCCACAAGAGACCAAGTGAGCAGAGTTCTGGTATGTGAATGCCCTATGCCCTGACCTCCTGGCAAACACAATGGAAAACTGTAAGTGGCTTGGGTTAGTAGGGACCTATGAGGTAGAACTGGTTTTGAGCTAGTAAGAATTAAAATGTTAGCTGGGCGTTGGTGGCACACACCTTTAATCCCAGAACTCGGGAGGTAGAGGCAGGCAGATCTCCGTGAGTTTGAGGCCAGCCTGGTCTATAGAGTGAGTACCAGGACAGCCTCCAAAACAATACAGAGATACCCTGTCTCGGAAAAAAAAAAGGGGAAAGATCTAGAAACTGTACTGTACATGGGATTTCAGGTGGTCTGCGGAAGGAATATGAACAGAGAAATGAGGACAGGAACCTGTGGACACAACTAGTGAGACAGTGGTCTTTCTCTAAGAGATGTTAAAAGGAATTCAAGAAAAATAAAAGGGCTTCAGAAGATTAACCTAGACTCTGAGAATTGGAGGGCCAGACACTTCGGATAGGGAAGGACAATGCAGAGCTAATTTGGTCTCTGATGCAAATTTGGAATGAGAAAAGCAGGAAGTTTGGGGAGGTTAAGGTAGGTTCAACAAAAAGAAAAATAAATGGGATTTAACTTGGTGGCTAATCAATAGAAAGGCAGGACATGATATTGAACTAGAATGTGATTTGGGTCTGTGGGAGACTCTTTAATATACTTTCTGCCCCTAATGATGACCTGAGTTCAATCCTAAGGACCCAAGGTGGAAGGAGACCTGGCTCCTAAAAGTTGACCTTTGACCCCTATTGGTGCATTGTGGTACACATGACCCCAACACATGCACACATCCATGCACACAAAATAAATAAAACATTATAGTTTGTTTTGAAAACATCAATAAGATATGCCAGTAGACAGAAAATGAGGAGAGGATACGGCATTGGAAGCCAGAAGAGGTCAGGGAGGTGTCTAACAAAGCAATGTGCTAAGTCTGTCCCCACTGCTCTGTGATTCTATGAAGTAGAATGGCCATCCTGGGGCCTGAGTGTCAGTAGATTAAACATGGATAGACATACGCCCCCCAGTTGATCCAGACATACAAACCCCATTGTTTTCTTTCCTGACTATTCAGCAAACAGCCACCTGGACACTTTCTGGCACAGAGCTCAAAATATTCAGGCCAATATGTTACCAAGAGGTGAACACAGGCCAGAAGGGAGGGACAGTGCCTCAAAGTCCTCTTCAATTTGAACTCAACATTTCTGCCTACTCAGCATTCCAGTGTGCCTCTTTCTGGCCATGTGAAGGATGATCACACTCTGATTACAGAGATTTCATCAGTTAAGGATACCCGCTGCTCCTCCAGAGAACCCAGGATCAGATCACAGCACCCACAGCCATCTGTAACTCTAATTCCAGGGGATCTAATTCCCTCCTCTGGTCTCCATAGACACCAAAAATATATGTGGCACATATGCATACATGTAGGCAATGCATGCAAAACACTTATAAGATTAAAGATAAATCTTAAAAACAAGAATATTCTTTCCAGCTCCCTGAAACCAGGTGCTTTTATAGAACTGTGTATTTTTGCAACAACAAAGACTTAAATGTCAACTCCCATGTCTCTAAGATATGCCAATTTTATTATATATATATATATATATATATATATATATATATATCTTCCTAAAATCCTTCTTACAAGGCAGTTTTTCTTCTGCTCATTCAGACTTTGTTCAGGTTAGGAAGACAAGAAGGGATTAAGCTTCAAGTTGGGTTTTAAAATAGTTGAAACTGTGTACTGATTGCTGGCTTGGGTGATCTCTCCTTTCAAATGGAACTTGAGCCTATAAAAAATTGGAGTGGGAGAGGAAGGTGGCAAAATGTGTTTGCTTTTCTTGGATAAATCTGTGAGTCGGTGTGTGCTGTCAAAGGACATTATTCCTCCATTGGAAGTCACACTTCCTACACAACATGTGACACTCTGCCTTCTTTTCACAGACTCCCAGGCAGGGTTCGAAATCTTTCCCGTGTTCTGTATGCAAGCCTGTGCTCCCCAGTTTGTACTCCAAGAGTCTTTGTAGGAGAGCATTTACCAGGCACCCTAGTAGCTATGGAGAGTTTCCAAACTGAGTTCCTCAGAGCAAATTGCTAATTAACAGGGGAAGCCCAAGACTCACCAACCGTGAAGAGGGAAGGCAGACAGGGGACTCGTGGTTAGAAAAGCGGTCGTGGAAAAGCTCTCACATTCCTGATAACTTGGTTCCAGACACACACATACTTACCAGATTAAGGAGCGTCAAGTACTTTGAACGTCCGCCATCGTGGAATTCCTTTAACTTCTCATCATCCTTTCCAATAAGTGGGATGTAATAATTGAGGAAGATGTACCAGTTCCAAACAAGGAAGTGATATACGCAGGTGGTTGTCCTCGTCATGGCTTCTGTGAATAGGAGCAGTGCCCTTGCTCTCGGCTTTGCCTCTGAGTCCTGGGAGTCCCAGCTGCTCTCTCTGTTCAGGCTGGAGAGCTGTAGAAACAGAGCCCTCTGGGAGTGAGTCTCAACACAGGCTGGGTTTTGCTTCTCTCTTAGGCACCTTTTCTTATAAGCTCAGGAGGAGAGCTTTCAGATAGCTGCATTTAGATAACCTGACGGTTTGTACACATTTCAACACAAGGCTTAGAGGCGAGTACAAACAAGAGCTGCACTTCGAACAGGGCACAGCCTGCCGAATGACCTGTCATAAATGCCATCTCAGTAAAAGGTCATGCCTCTGTTCTTCCTTTCCATTTGGTCAGAAAGGTCGGGGTGGTAATGGTGTCTTTTCGAAGAACACGTTATCTTAAAGCAGGAAGTAGAGACTTGGGTGTGTTTATGGCTCCAGGAAAGATAAGGAAGTCAGGTGTAGTCATTGTACTTGTGAAACCTCTGAGGTATTGTCAAGCTTGAAACAGCCTTTGATCCCTGAGGGACAGACTCAAGGGAGTCTCAGTCTCCCTGCTCTTACTGGAGAACAAAAGATGTCTAGACATTCCATCTGCATAACATTTTTGTGCCCATAGGGAAGAAGCATCAGGAGTTAGCTGTGGCCAGCATACCTGGATGTAGACATGACTGGGGGTGGGGATGGGGGAGAAGCAAGGGTCTCTGCCCTGCCCTGGGGCGTAAAAGACATAATTCGATTGGGAGAGCAATGGGCAGGACCCTACCTCAGTCGGTGCAGAAGGGGACTGAAGGAGAGCTGCAAGTGTCATGCCTTGTGACATCACCAGCTTGTTTCCCTGGGCAACTGCCTTGGAGGGTTAAGCAAATTCCTTGCGAAATGCCCCTGCCACCATTAGGGAAGTCTGCAGTTGATACACTATTGGTGACTTCACCAGGCTTTATAAGAACTGAGAAAAAGAACTTCAAGGAGCTATGGGAACCCAAAGAAATCCAGAGCTAATCTATATGAAAAGTCAACTAGACCAAACATTAGAGAGAGTGGTCCTGAATCAGCATGTGTGTAGGGTAACCATTTCTCAGCCTGCTGGAAATGCTATAATGAAGTATTACAAAGTTGTAGGCTTATAAACACATTTCTTTCTCCTATGTTTTAGAGGCAAGCATTACAAGACAGGCACTGGCAGCTTTGGTGTCTGGTACAAGTTCATTTTCTAGTTAACACATGTAATCCTCTCACTGTGACCTCTCATGGGAAAGTAAGTCATGTGGATGTTTTTGGGGGCCAGAATCCTATGCAGCAAGGCTGTCTTTATGTTCTAGAGACTTGTCTATATATAGCCTATAGTCTTAGTACCATCACTTTGAGAGTTGGGATTTCCCCGATGAATCTGAGTAAGGCCTGAACATTTAAAACAGAAAATCATTCACTATGGGGAGAGCAATCCAGGACATGGGGACAGTGCCCTGCAAAATTCCACCTAGGCTAAAATTGCACATGATGATGGTGTCCCCTGCTTCTGTAGCACCTCTTGCTTAAGCATGGCTCCAAGTGCTGCCTGCACATCAGTTCTCCGAACACTTTAAATACCATAATGATGTTAATGCTGAAATGCTGTGCTGTGGGGCAAGCAGTGAGGGGGCAGAGTGAGTCCACACTAGTAAGCGGTGGATCTCAAGGGCAAAGAGAAACCTCTCTGCGTGCCTGCTGGCTCCCTTTCTAGTACTTCCTCTCCCCTAAGTGACTTTTACATATTCATCTTCTTAAAGTCTCTCAATCTCCAGCTAAGACCAGGGGTCAGTAAAGACTAAGGTAAAGATGGGAGGAGAAGGTAAAAACTCAAATCTCTGGTGCGTGTTCAGACCCAGAGATGGGCCTCTGCCTGTCTCTGCCTCCCAAGTGCTAGAATTAAAGGCCTGTATGCCACCACCTAGCCATCATCTCTTTTTAAATTATTATTGTTACAAGTATGACCTCCTGGGTCCATTTAGCTTTGCTTGTATGTACAGGTGTCCAGGGGTGATCCATTGGGATTGGACAACCTGTGAGGGAATGTGGCCCTGGAGGACTGACTCTCTAACTGTCAACAGACATTGACCACTTGAAGCTCTTTATTCAGGGCTTTCTTTAGAAATAAGATCCAATCCCTGATCTCAGGAAGTGTGTAGACTAGAGAGCAATGTAGCATGAATTCTAATTGATCTTAATAATAGAATCCCGGAGTCAGATATTAGGGGGTGAAAACTGAAAGATCAGAGAAACGTAGTGGCCAGCCACTAGAGCTCTTACCTCAGACCAAAGGGGGTTGAGCCCCTGTCTACCTCCCGCCTTATATTCCTCTCTCCACCCAGCCACATCACTTCCTGCATCCACCTCCCTAGTGCTGGGATTAAGGGCATGAGATTCCAAGTGCTAGCATCAAAGCTGTGAGTGGTTTTTCTTTGAGACTGGTTAATCTCATGTAGGCCAGTGTGGCCTTGAACTCTTGATCCTCCCGCTGCCACCTCCCAAATGCTGGGATTATAGGTGTGTGGGGCACCGCTGCTTGACCTCTGATCTTCAGGAAAGCTTTATTTGTTAGAGCACAAACAAAATATCACCAAGGGGGAGAGGCAGACTAATTGGGAATGAAAGCAGGCCCTTCATCTCTTGAATCAGGTTCCAAGCAGCCAATCTCTTTCCATTCTTTCTGTAGATGCCCTAGCCCAGGTCTTCTCTTGCTGGGGAGAAGAACTGTCTCCTTGTTGATTTTTTTCTGCTCTAGTTTTGTCCCTCAACACTCTTCTTCACAAGGCCAAGGAGGGATGCTTTGTGCAATGTCACAGTCGTTCTTATGTACATGCCTTTCTGTATGGACATCACTTATGACAAGATATCTGTCTTCACTCATCATAGTGAAGTGCCCTCTATCACGTGACTTTGGTTTTTTCCCCAGCCTCATCTTTTGTCTGTCATAGGATGCTCCTCTAAAAACAACAAATGGACAGAACTTCCCACCTAAACCTGCCCAGGTTACAAGAAGTGTGCTCATTCCTAGTCCCTGATGACGTCAGCCTGTCACTCGAGTCTGACTGGTTGTCTCAGAATCACTCTCTGCGGCACAGTCTAGCAGTTTTCTTCTCTGGGAATTCTTCCCTGGTCTCCTCTTGAATCAGACTGTATTAACTAGTTCCACCTCTTCCCTGACACCTCGCATCTCTGAAAATCTCACGATGATCAGGAATGCAACTTGTTAAGGATGCTGTTATTTCTTGTGGTTCAGAGATTCTGTTTTAATTCCATAGCTTATAAGAAGACTGAGCACATAGTGTTTTAAAAACATCATCAACCAAATCACTAAACCACTCACTTATATAAAGGGGCTGGGTGTGGTAGGTAGAGGCAGGTGGATCTCTGAGAGCTTGAGTCCATCTAGTCTACATAGTGAGATCCAGGTCAGTTAACACTATATAGTGGGAACTTGTTTCAGTGTGATAAAATATATAAAATAAATTAAGGAAAAGACTTGAAGGAATATTTCTAAAAATAAGGTATTCATGTGGCCAACAACTACATGAACAAAATGTTCAATATTACTAACCACCAGTAAATGCAATTTAAAACCAAAATTGAGACATCAACTTACTTCTGCTACAATGGTTATTATTTAAAAAAATAAAGTATTGGCAAGGATGCGGAGAAAAGGGAACCCTGGTACACACTGAGTGGGGAAGCAAATTGATATAGCCACCATGAACTATGAAGATTCCATTAAAAATCAAAACAGCCACCATATGCACCATACGATCCTACAATATAAACACTGGGTATACATCCTTGGGAGATGAAGTCAGAATGTCAAATATACATCTGCTCTCCCGTGTTGTTGTGGTACTATTCTCAGTACTTGTAGTATAAGAATGTATATAGTAAATGAAGGCATGCATCACACGAAGCATATAATAGAACATGGCATGATGCAGCCTTTGCATAGGCAGAATCTTGCCTTTAGCAATATGACTGAGCCTAGTAATGGTATTTAAACAAAGTAACATATGAAGAGTCTATAAGCAAGCTTATAGGAGCATTGAGTAGAATGATGCTTTTGAATTGAATTATGAATTACTGGGGGATGGAAGTAAGGATGGGAGTAGAAACTAGTGAGTTTGTTAATAGACAAAATTTCAGTTCAGCTAGTAACCGTGTAACTTAAAAGATTTCCAAGAGGGAGCATGGCAGGAGAGAGTTGGAAAGACTGCAAGAGCCAGAGATAGGAGCAGAGATGTGAGGTGCTCTCTGTCTTCAGAGAATGGCACAGCCACTGCAAACATCTCACAGTAACTGCAGTTGCCTGCACAAGGTAGGTCCTGTCAACAGCCAATTGTAGATTGAAGAACTCATGTGGCCTCAACATTACCTGCTGAACTATTTGTAACACAAATAAATAAAAGACCCACAGATTGACATTGGGGTCTAAACTTCAAGTTGAATATCAAAAAAGCAAAGTTTTCACCTCAAGCTCAGGCTGAAAGGGCACCAGCTCTTCACCAATTCTCACACTGCTGCTTCTCCTTAGTGTTGCTGGAAAATGAATCCTTCTCTGAGATCTTGCTTCTGTCTTATATACTTCTCTAACGTTGGGATTAAAGGTATGAGGCATAATTTTTCTTTTAGGCTGATTCACTCCTGTGTAGATCTAAGTGGCCGTGGACTCACAGAGCTCCATCTATCTCTTAATTCTGAGCCCTAGGATTAAAGGCGTGTACCACCACCTCCTAGCTTCTGGCTGCTGGAATTAAAGGTGTGTGCCTGACTTCTATAGCCTGTGGCTGACTTTACTTTCTAAATACTCAGGCAAACTTTAATAAATAATAAACAATATTTCACCACAACTATTGACTAGTTGATGGGAGATACCCTTCTGTATAGATGTTTCTCTTATTGGTTGATGAATAAAACACTGGCTAATAGAGGCAGGAAGATAGGCGAGGCTAGGAGACAAGGAGAATTCTGGGTTAGGTAGGCAGAGAAGGGCAGAAAAGAGTCACCATGTAGGGACTGGGAGAAAGGACATTCCAGGCATTCTCTGGTAAGATAAGACCACATGGAAATATATTAATAGAAATGGGTCAATAAGTAAGACAGAGCTAGCCAATAAGAAGACCTAGTCATCAATCAACAGTTTATAATTAATATAAGTCTTTGTGTGCTTATTGGGGGCTGAGAAGGTTGTTGGGTCCTAGGGGGACAAAAAAATCCATCAACAGCTATCTATGGATTTTAGGGGAGGAGCAGTCATTGACTTCAGTTGTATACCAAAGGTAAGCACACAATACTGTAATACAGCAGTTCTCAACCTGTGGGTCACAATTCTTTGGGAGGTTGAATGACCCTTTTATAGGGGTTACCTAAGACAATTCGAAAACACAAATATTTACATTACAATTCATAACAGTAGTAAAATAACAGTTATGAAGTAACAACAAAAATAATCTCTGGTTGGAGGGTCACCACAACATGAGGTACTGTGTTAAAAGGTTGCAGCATT